CTCCAGAATGTGACCCACAAATGACCGTGTCCATGAACTTGTTCCAGCTCTGCCTTTCTGCACGGTGTTCGTCTGAAATACCTACTCAGACCTGTGAGGCTCGACTCGAGTGGCCACCTTCCAAAAAGCTTCCCCTAACCATCTCTCATTTCAGTTCATCTCTTCCTCCTCTGTGTGCCCAGTGACGCTGTGTATAATTTTGGTAGCTGTTTACATAGCTCTGTCCACCAAAAGACCTTAAAAGTCAGGTCTGTGCCATCTGTCAGGGTAACCCTCACTTGGCCATTTATGTAAAAATTGTGTAAGTGTTTGTTGAATTGGATGAAAGTCATTATTAGCTTTAAATATGAATATGACTTTTTGTAGTTAGTGGTTTTGAAATTTTAACAGTTAAGAACTAGAGAAGCTATTGTGAATCTAGAGCATTTTTTACTGAATTAGTAATAATGCAAGGATTGATTTCCAAGCATTTTTCAAAATGCAGTGGAAGTCTACTAGTTTTATCTGTAAGGTATATTAAAGCACATTTGGAGTTTTGCTTTCTGAGAGTAAAAACTGAGACAATATGCATATTTTAATTTTTTTTCAAGGTATTTTAATTTTCAAACCAACTACTATATTAGTGAGCTTTGAATTGGTTACTCTGTTCTTATAGTTTCTTGACATTTGGTGCCATCTAGTGTTATATTTTGCATATTACAGGCAAGAAAGGAGAAGGAATTATTTATATTATGTATTTGCATTTATAGTGGCAGTGGAAACACCTGAGAAATTTATAATCATAAATTATAAATGTATCAATGAGAAAATTATAATCTCATATCTATATATTCCACTGTAGAACTACTGTGGATCAAATTTTTACTCTGCCACTTTTTAGGTTTTTGATCTTGAACAAATTACTTAATGGTTCAAAGCCTCAGTTACTTCAACTGAATGATAAGATCCACTTAAAATTTAGTGAGGGAGTTAAATAAATTGATCCATATAAGCCATTCAGCAAAGTATCTGGCACAGAGTAAGTGCTCAATAAACATTTTTGTGGGGTTTTTTTGAAAATTGCAAGTCATTATAATGGGAATCATCTTAAAAGAGGGAATAAATTAACCTAGGGACAGATGAGGGTGAAAAAGTAGAGGCTTCTCAGTGATACCTTGGTAAAGGTACAGCGTGAAAAGGTTATTAACGTGGCCATAGCAATGCCTGTTTCTTCTTCAAGGGAAGTTGTTGGCTTTGGCATGAAGTTACTTACCATTAACATATCTTGCCAAGAAAGATTTTTTTTTTCAAAAATAGCAACCCAGTAGGTTGAATAAATGCCCCCAAACCTATTTTTCTCCTTTTCAAGGATTCAAATTATTCCTTTCCTGGACTATAGCAGAATCAGAAAGGCAATAATGAGGAACCTGAATTTTTTTTAAAAATTAAAACCTTGATTGCAATCACAGGCATGAAAATACTGCTTCTTGATATGTACGTTATCTGCCACAAAACAAAAACAAACTATAAATATCTTGAAAATGGGAGAGAGAGATAAGACTGGCTAATAGATTTCTGGTAAACAAGAGTTTATACATTAAATATCAATAGTTTATGCTATTCATAAGCTAAATGCTTAAAAGCGTGTTGGTTCCAATTTTTATTCTGTAGGATTTATTTCATAAAAATAAAAATATTTTCATACGTTTTAAAGTTTACACTCATTAAGCGTGGAAAATGTATTTCTCATAAGACCTTTAATTCTGTAATTACAAGTTCTATCACAAGGATTTCCAGGAACCTAACCCTGGCAGGTGGAAAGGACTTTTGTATATTAATAGGTTTCCTATTTTACAAATTGAGTTGACTATATATGCATTTCTTCTAGAAAATGTTTTGACCCCATTAAGATAGTAGTGCATACTCTTTGGTTTCATAAACCAGGACTGGAAATAGCAAAAATGACCACATAGAATGACCACAGGGAAGGAAATTTCCCGGGAGAGAAAAGGTCCTTGAGGGTGAGTCTGCTGGGAGGGGGAAGTATAATGTCCCAGTTCCTCAGGACCTGCAGCTACTCCTCCACTTCCAGGGCTTGTGCTCAGGGAAAGGGAGAAGGCGTCACCTTGGCAACCGCTGGGAGAAATGGCAGCTGCAGGCCCGACATGAACCTGGTCACCGACGAAGACCTGTCCGCCAACCCTGATGGACTGTTTTCTGCCTAGCCTTCGAGAACTCAGTTACGCTGTACTGAATGGCTGGATGAGTATAGCTAGGGTGTACTGAATCGGCTAGGATTCTGAAAACCAGGAGCAGGACTCTAGAATTAAAAGCATAAGCTTTAATGAAAAGTGTGAATAAATATGTATTTATTTACTTTTAATTTTTTTTAAATTGATTTTCAGAGAGAGAGAAAGGGAGAGGGAGAAAGAGAAACATAGATGTGAGCATGAAACGGACCCTGCACGCCCCCTACCGGGGATCAAGCTGAAACCTGGGCATGTGCCCTGACTGGGAATCGAACCGGCAACCTTTCAGTACATGGGACGTTGCCCAACCACCCAGGACTATAAATATTTATTTACTAGAACCAAACCTTTCTTGTATGTGATGTCTATTGTAAGAGAGATATCTTTAAAAAGATTGAATCACTTTCCTAATTCCAACTGTTACTAAGCCTTAGTATTTTTTTCATTGTGATCTAGCATATATATTAAAATCAAAACAAATGCAAGTAAATGCTATGTTATAATATGGAATCATTGGTCACACACCAAGAGTCATCGATAAGCAGTTTTTAATGTAATATTTTAACTCGGTGTCTCTTCACTGGTGGCCAGTCTGAATACTGAGAAGGCCAACCTCACCACCAGGCCTCCGCAATGGTTTTGTTTAAGTGATTTACAGCTCCTTGCTGTATAGTTTTTGCTTTGTTTCATCTTCCCTTGGCATTAGGTCTCTGATTCTGTCTGGATCCTTCACTATCCTTGTTTCTGGGCTGATTGAATTTGTTGAATTCTTTTGCTCTTCACGTCTGCTTGATTTTCCCATCTTTGACTGTCCCTTGCACTGTTTCTACACTTGAGTTTTTGTTCAATTAAAAACCTGATTCGCTCGGCTGGTGTGGCTCAGTGGTTGAGCGTCGACCCATACACCAAGAGGCCGCTGGTTTGATTCCCAGTCAGGGCACATGCCCAGGTTGCGGGCCTGATCCCCAGTGGGGGGCATGCAGGAGGGGACCACTTGATGTTGTCTCTCATTGATGTTTCTCTCTCCCTCTCCCTTCCCCTCTCTCTAAAATCAATAAAGAAAAAAACCTTCTGATCTGAAATAGGTTCATATTCAATAGCAATTTTATTCTTTCATACCAGTACTATTCATTACATTAACAAAAGTTATAAGCATTTTTATTATGCTTATACAAAATATTTTTCACAAGAGTAATTGTATTCGGAATTACAGAAGTCTCTAATTCATAATATCGCAAGTTACAGGGGCTTACATTTTAAAAAAACTGTACTTCTTTTTTTCCCTTAAAACCTAATTTAAAATTTTCTTTTAAAAACATTCTCAACTAGAATTGAACTTGGGACTAGTTTTCTAGGATAATCATTTTTTAGTAACTATATTTACTTATCAGTTAATCTGAAACCATTTAACTTTAACCTCACATTCTATATAGGAGTACAGAACTTTCCAGAAGAGTTTGAAAGAAACTGTAGTTGAATACCTTCCAGATGAGGACAGAAAGCTCACATATCCTAGATATTTACTGTCTGTATTTATTGTAGCTTTCCCCAGAGGAGGCGGAGTTGTATGTATGTACAACTTAAGGCAGAGCTCACCGAGAGCGTCTGTGTCCATTAACCACAAACGGACTGAAATGTGCAGTCATGCAGTGTGTGAGTCACGTGACGCCTGGGTCTCTGTCTTCCAGGGAAATAGAGGGTGGATGTTGTAAGTAAGGGCCCCTGGAATAAGACGAAGACACTTAGAATGGCTCCGATTTTCCATGTGAAGCAACCTAATTTCATTGGGATTTTTTTTTTATTGGGACTTTGAAGTCACCGTTTATTATTGGGTATTATATATAAACATATTATGAATATGGCCAAGAGGAGGTTATAGTTTTTACTTCTGGAATTGCAGAGTGGGAAATTTAGACTAATGGACACTTAATGGATTTTTAAATAACTAGAAATGGAAGATGACAATTCTCATGTAATAAAACGAAGTAGTAAATGCTGCTTTGAGCCTTATTTTAACTTTTGATTACTAATTTTTACTGTAGTTATATGTGTAAGGGAGTAAACCAAATCTTACCTTAGTTATATTTGAAGAAACTTGATTATTTATATAATGTTTAAAAAAACGGATGCTTGTATGTAATGATAAATTTAACATCTCGTTTTTAAATGTTCATGTTTGTCATTTAAAGTATTCAAATAACTTTAACGAGGAGCAAATAAAAATCAGTTAAGTTAGATACTTACACGTGTCCTGTACTATAAACATGACCTATAACTGAAAGTTCTAGAACATTTAATTTTCTGATCTCCTTTCTCAGGCTTCTTACTCATCAGGGGCCTTATCGCAGCCCATCACTTGAATTCTGTTACTTGATAAGTTAATGTAGCCTTCATTGTGAGAACTGAAATGTGAGAATAAATGCAAGGTTTGAATACTGTTATGTCAGTAAGTGGTTTTATCAAACAATATAAAAACGTTCTAATTGTGGGGAGGGTGGGAACTCATATGCATATATGCACAACCCACGGACACAGACAACAGTACTGTGAAAGGGGCAACCGGGGCAGGGAGCAGGGTGTCCATGGGGGGAGGGGAGGAGAAACACCTGTAACAAAAATAAATAAAAACACACAATGGTACAAATGCAAAAAAAAAAAATTCTAATTGTATAGTGTGTTTTAAGTATTTTAAATTAAAAAGAGAGCTTAATTGTCTCATTTCCGCCCGGTTTTTCCAAATTCTAAGCTCCCGCCCCCTCCGTCTCTTCGCAGGCTCTGATCCAGTGTGAGCAGCTCAGGAGCGAGCTGGAGCGGCAGGCGGAGCGGCTGGACAAGGAGCTGGCGGCCCAGCAGGAGAGAAGGGCCTTGGACAGGGAGGCGATGAGGCGAGAACTAAGCAAAGAAAAGGAGGACCTGACTTCCAAGGTACTCAGGGTCGTGGTCTGCGTCGCAGGAGTGTGTGGTGGTGTCAGGCATGGTTCTGAAGGCTGCAATTCTTGAATGAACTTTCCATTTTAAAATCCCACAGGGAGTCAGATTTCTTGTAACGTAAGAGTTCCTCAAAACTGTCTCTCATTCATGCGCTTCCCATGTTACATTCTCTCTGACCTTGGCGAACAGGATGATCCATTTGATTCGTCATCAGTTTGAGGGCCCCCAGGGCCGGAGCCCAGGGAGTGAGGGGCAGAGTGTGGAGGATGGGTTTGGAGAAGGGTGCAGGGACGGCACCAGGAAGGGCCTTAGTATCCCCGTGAAGGGCTTGACCTGTCATCCACAGTGGTGGACAGCCACCGATGGCTTCCCGTTAGGCAGTGTCGTGATGCTGCTGTGCCCACAGCGAAATGCAATGAAGACCTGCCTGTGCTCTTTCAGTGAATGTTTGTTAGTTCTTAGTCTCCCTAAGAGTTTTTCTTTCTCTCCTTGTTTTCGTTGAATCTGTTCTCCTGCTTTGAGAGAACGGTGATGTGTGTCTTTGAGGTCGTTCTGAGTTAAAGTGCCTTGGGACAGGTGACAGATTCAGAAAGATGCTTAGGAAGGGACCTAGAATGCAGACAGCTGTAGGTCTAGGTCATCTTAGCACTGGTGGCTTTGGTCCCGTGTCCGTGGGGTTGATTTCTAAACCTTCAGCTCTGCTGAGCTCCCAAACCAGCCTCCTTCCCTTCTCTCTCCCTGTGGAAACACCTCCATCTAGTTGCCCAGAATCTTTCTGTCATCTCTGTCCCCTCCCTTCCCTAACCCTACACGTCATCACATCACCGATTTTTAGAGACTCGGGTCCCCAGAAGTTGTAGGTTGCTCATCTCTCCAGCCAACTGCTGCCCAGAGCTCTCCCTCCGATGATGCCACAGCCCACTGCCACCCAGGGCTCTCCCTCCAATGATCCCACAGCCCACTGCCGCCCAGGGCTCTCCCTCCGATGATCCCACAGCCCACTGCCGTCCAGGGCTCTCCCTCCAGTGATCCCATAGCCCACTGCCGCCCAGAACTCTCCCTGCAATGATGCCACAGCCCACTGCCACCCAGGGCTCTCCCTCCGATGATCCCACAGCCCACTGCCACCCAGAACTCTCCCTCTGATGATCCCACAGCCCACTGCCACCCAGAACTCTCCCTCCGATGATCCCACTGCCCACTGCCACCCAGAACTCTCCCTCCGATGATCCCACAGCCCACTGCCACCCAGAACTCTCCCTCCGATGATGCCACAGCCCACTGCCGCCCAGGGCTCTCCTTCCGATGATCCCACAGCCCACTGCCACCCAGAGCTCTCCCTCCGATGATCCCACAGCCCACTGCCACCCAGAACTCTCCCTCCGATGATCCCACAGCCCACTGCCGCCCAGGGCTCTCCCTCCGATGATGCCACAGCCCACTGCCGCCCAGGGCTCTCCCTCCGATGATGCCACAGCCCACTGCCGCCCAGAGCTCTCCCTCCGATGATCCCACAGCCCACTGCCGCCCAGGGCTCTCCCTCCGATGATCCCACTGCCCACTGCTGCCCAGGGCTCTCCTTCTGACGATGTCACAGCCTGAGTGCCCGTCCCACTTCCAGTCTCACCTCCTTCTCGACTGCTGTCTCCACCACAGCCGGGATGATCTTTCCAGCATGAACATCTCAGTATGTCAGTCTCTTGCCTCTTGCTTTAAAATTCTGTCTTGGCTCCCTGCAGCCCTCTGGCTAACATTTAGGACCCTTTAGCATGGCAGAGAGACTCTACATTTTCCTTCCCCTCTGGGGGTCCCCGTCTCATCTCCCCTCACCTTCCGTTCTAGCATCACCGCCCTCCTGACCTTCCTGGAACATGCATGGTGCCAACCTGCCACGCTGCTTTTTTATTCTAGGGTGTTGCTTTTGCTTTGCCCCCTGCCGAGAGGAATCTCCTCTGCCCCCTCTGCTGGATCTTCCAAGCTCTTCTGATGCCACTCTGCGCACAGCCTCTCCGTGGTGAAGGGGGAGCCCCTCCGTGGGCTCCCAGACCTCAGTGTATTGCAAGTTCTTGTTGGATTGTTCGTCTCCCCTAACTTACTGCGAGCCCCTGATGTGCTGCGAGTCCCGTGATTGGGACCTTCCTCTCACATACTGTGCTCAGTGTATTTTTGTTGAATGAATGTAATACAAGAGGCAGCCAAAAGGCCCAAGTCATCGGAAAGGTATGGAGAAAATGCTCAGCGCTCAGAGCACCAGACAGATCCCCGTGTGCAAGAGATCACAGGAGCTTCGTGGAGAAGGTGGCAGCTAACTGAGCCTCAGAGAACAGGGGGTTAGAAAGGCAGGGTGTGGGCAGGAATACTGGCCGCGACCAGCATGAGTGAGCTGGGGGGAGGGAGACCGTGAACTGCCGGCTGTGTGTGAGACAGAGTGGTCGCCACAAAGACCAGCTATTGTTCACACCTCGAGTTTTCCTCGCTGGGTTGCTTGGTGGAAACTCTCACCTTGCTGAATAGTTGCGCTGCACAAAAACATCTCGATGGGGACTCCTGGTAGGAAGGACAAAGCCCGGCTGCGCTGCGCCAGGCACTGTTCCAGGTGCTTTCTCGGGGAACAGGACCTCTTTGTACTGGCAGCTATTTCACAAGCGAAGGTGACAACAGACACACAATACGTGCCTGGGTCTGAGTCATCTGTTTTGCCCCCAGTAAGTCTTGGTTGTCATTTGATCTCCAGGCCCTGCCCTACATACAGGTGTATAAATAAAAGCCCGCAGCGGTCCCAGCGCCCAGTGCTGTCACCAGCAAAGGGCAGAGAGTGGCCTTGGAATAAAAGGCTTTGAGGTTGAATCTAAATTGACCTTTCTGTGACCTCGAAGGATTCGTTGGACCTCTCCAAATCACAAATGAGTAAATAATGGAGTTGGTCTACTCGAGGGATTGGTTGGATTAAATAAGATAATGTTTGGAAAGTACCTGCTACAATACCTGACTTAGAATGAACATGTCATAAATCTTACCTTGTGGCTATTATCATTCCTACTCCAGAGAAGGAGAGAAGTCCTATCAGATAGATTTCCTGGATCTTCATGTGAGTCAAAGCAGACAGATTTGCATATAAAGCCCAGCTTCACTTTTTATTTATTAGCCTGAATGAGCTTGGGCAAATTACTTAATTTACTGAACCTCATTTTTTCGGTTGAAAATTAATCCAATATAATTCTTTCTCCAAGGGGCTAAGAGAGAATGTACATCACACTGCCTGGCACAGGAAGTTAATCGAACAGGGAGACGGACCCATCAATCGTGTACATGTTCTGTAGCTAGAGCTGAAGCAAGCATTTCTGCTTTCCCAGACTTTAGATTTTTTTTCTTTCTTTTTATTATTTCCTTCTTTCTTTTTTCTATCACCTTTAAAAAAAAATCCACTCGTGTGGGAAGCTCTAGGTGAGCAGATGCCTTCTGCCTAGGCAGGGGTTGAGTCGCCCCCACGGAACGGACTCGCTGTGTTTGTTTGTTGTCTTTAGTGATGGTCTCGGTTGCACTGAGCCCTAGGGTCTGTTGGTTGAGTCCGTCCATCATCATTCATCGAGCACCCTCTCTGGTTCAGCATTTCCTTGGTGAGTTTCCTGTAAAATAGCCCTTTGCTAGAGTCCTTCCTTCTTGTGCCTCTGGGATAGGGAGTACAGTACCACTTTTCCCGTGTGCAGTACCCGGGGGCTGCTGCAGGGTAGACATTTCTGTCAAGCTCTCCCCGCCCGGGCGTCCTTGTCTCTTGCTTGCCCCTGTCAAAGTTTAAAGGACTTGCCTGATGTCACCGCCCTGGACACCCAGCAGTGTTGCAGCTGTCTGTGCTACTTATGTGTCTGCAACAGATGTGGATGGAGAAGCCCCTGCAGAGTAATGTTGACTTCCAGATGGTGGGCGTGGGGAAAAGAAGGTGTGACTACGGGAGGGAAGTGGGCAGCAGGGGGAGCAGACAGGTCATGGGCAGAAAGAAGTGATGGGCGGCAGAGGGAGTGATCGCGGGAAGGGGTGTGATTTGTTACATGCCTTATGATAGAAGCTGACTCAGTGCTGACAATGAGCAGTTCTTCCGATACGTTCTCATAGTTACTTCAAAAACCGCACAATGTTAATGTGTTTACTGTAAATATCTCCACACAAGTAACATATGATTTTTCAGTAGCTGGTAATTAAAGTTTGTTGCTGCTAAATGGTTTCAAAAAAGCTATCATGACATATTCATAAAATGGATATTCACGAGCTTGAGAGTTTATATTAAGAAAATTAAATTAATATTTTTGATGCGTTACATTGAACTTCTTTTGACCTTTAATTTTAGGCTCAGATTGTAATGTGCATAAGGATGGTTTGTAGCTTGGTATTAGTAAAAGTCATTTTATGTACAAATTTGATTTGCAGCCAATCTTTTGATGATAAGAAGGACAGACAAACAACCATACGTCAAATAGACAATTCTCCACGATCCCCAGAAAAGTTAATGCATCTGCTGTCTAAATTAGAAAACAGCTACAGGGCTCATTATTTTCATGTGTCAACTTTGGTTATATATTTCAAAAACAATCTTGATTTTTATCACAAAATTTTCGTTATTGATTTTAGTTGTAAAACTGAATTTACATTCATGTCAGTATACAAAGGTACAATTCAAATGTTATTATTTCAAATTTGTTATCAGTCCTTGTTTTAACAGTTTAAAAGCTGATAGATGCTCCTATATGTTTTGCTCTGGGGTACGGTAGCATTTCTTCTTCATTGTAAAATTGCTAATACAAATATGAAATTGAGAGCCTAGACAAATTGTACTTCCTGGGGAACAGTAAAATGTAATTGCAAACAACAAAACTATGAAGGTTAAATCTAAGATCTAGAAAGCATTTCTAACACAGAAGAAAAACAAAGAAACTCTTGTCCATAGAGTCCCCCAGAGAAGCCATTTGTTCTACCTATTCATATGTTTACCAAATATCTGGTGTGTCTTGAAGAACATGCCTTTGAGGAACACAAACGTGCTAATGAGGGAACAGACAGCTGGAAACAGAAACGCGGTGCTGGAAATGTGTGGGGCTGGGGTGTGAGAGGGGCCGACAGAGGTGGTTGTGGGAGCACATGCCAGGGAGATAGTCGAAACAGTAAAGCACCAGGACAGCGGGGACAGCAGTCAGTGGGAGTGGACGCCAGCGGCAAACAGCAGGCATGACGGCCCAGTGCACGTGAGCCAAATAGCAGCCCTGAGTATACAGGGGGGCTTCTGTTCGGTGCTGGGAGCTGCGGGTCAGAGAACCCTCCTGGAGGAGGGGAGATAATGGCTGAGTGGACTCCTACCAGAGGAACAGGCTAGCTAGGGCGTGGGGAGAGCTCCTCATTTGTGCTGTTGGAGAGAGGAGGAGGTTTCGTAGACCACCAGTAGCTCTCTCCGAAGATGCCCACCTGTCCAACTCTCCCAATCCATCCTGCTGTGTCCTCTGTATGGGAGAAGGGTTGAAGAGTTTGCTGATTCCTTAACCCCTCTTCTGAAATTGAGTCATGTCAGTTTCTTCCATAACTTACATAGGTGTGTGGTATCTGTCACCTTAGAGTTTCAGCCAAAACTTTGGCTTTATCATCATGTTATACGTTTTCCAAAATGAAAGTACATATGTAAGTCTTGATGAGTTGAAGAGGTAAAGAAATGGACACACCCAGTCCACAGAGAAGTGACTTACAGAGAGCTCTGTGGTCGAGGCTCTGTGAACTCAACATATTTTAAATATTTAGTTTGTCAAATGATGCTATCATTTAGGACTCTTATTTCCTCTTACAGATGTTGGCTCTGTCTCAGAACATTGCCCAACTGGAGGGCCAGGTGGAAAGGGTTACAAGAGAGAAGATTTCAGCCGTTAACCAACTAGAAGAAGTTCAAAACCAGCTTGCTTCCCGGGAAATGGATGTCACAAAGGTACAGAGAAAGAGTTTAGATTAGTAATTACTTAGATATTTTCTTTGAAACATTTTTTTCCTAATGTACACTTAGAGTACTTACTATCAGCAGGCCCTTTGCTGGGTGTGCAAATACCCTACAAAAATGAATGAGACACAGGTAATATTCTCTAAGAGCTTAAGAGTTCAGTGGCTGAGCCCTGGCCGGTTTGGCTCAGCGGTTAGAGCGTCAGCCTGCAGTCCAGAGAGACCCGGGTTTGGTTCCTCCTAAGGGCACGTACCTCGGTTGCAGTTTGTCCCCGGCCCTGGTTGGGTCATGTGTGCGGGAGGCAGCCACTCGAATGTATCCCTTTCACATCGATGTTTTTCTCTCCCTCTCTCTCTCCCTCCCACTCTATCTGGAAAAAAAAAAAAGAGTTCAGTGGCGGAGGCAGACTTGTAAATAAGCAAGCCGTATTACTTGGATTATTGAATATTTGATAAAACTTCTATTTCTGCATTTGCTAATTAGTAGTAATTTTTGTCAGAGATAGCGTAGGTTTGCTCTTCATAATAACCCTAAAAGACATATATTTACAACACGAAAACGGTGTTTAACATAGAACTTACACCTCCCATTTCTTTTCAGACGTGGTCTCAAAAATAAAAATTCTAGTACTACAGCTAATTATTTTATTGGTCTTTAAATTTATACTTTAAAAGTCACAGTGTTTGATGTATGGGCATCACAGACTTGAGAATCTAGAACTCAAATGTTTAATGATCTTAACTGACCAATGTAAGGTATGTATTTAAGAAACACTAGAAGTCTGTGTAGATTTTAGTAATCAATTGCTTTAACACTAAGAAACTAAATATGGGCATGCATGATGTAATAAAGTAAATGAATTAATTTTTGACCAATACATACACAGATTATTTTAAAATGCATACCTTTTTCATATTAAATTTTGCTTCTCAACATCTTTTCCTAAATTGTGACCCCTTGTAATGCCATTGTTGCTTTATAATTTAGCAATTAAAATAAACTTGAACGTACATTAGAAAAGGGAGCCTATTTTTTCTTTTTCTTCCTTGAATTTATATAATTACCATTGGCTTTCTAAAATCAAGCTAGCAAATGGAGACTTTAAAGATGTCTTGTTTGCTAATATAATTGATGTGTCCGTGTGCAGGGAAGGGTGGAGGGAAGGAACTGATGCAGAGGATGGAAGAGGTAAACCCAGACAGTGGATGAAAGCTACGGCAGGAGTTGCCAGTTCATTCATTATAGGGAGCACTTTCTGTTGAAATGTACACCGTAAAGAATGAGCATAATCTGTCCTTAGAATTGTCCAAAGGGACTCGGGCATCAGACGAGCACCTGCAGGTTGCTTCCGGCTTTGAGTTAATATAATTCTAGTCCAATTTAATGTGTCAGCTTATTTTAGATAGAATTTAAATGTTATGGAGAAACTTAGCAAAGGCTAAACCAAAAGTAGTAAGGCAAGGGAACTGTGAAAATAAAATTAAGGGCTAAAATAATTTTCAGTAAGACCTAATGATTAGACGTTCATGACATATAATGATTTTGTGTTGGTGTTGTGGTTCACAGTTTTTTGTTTATTTATTTATTTATTTTTGGTTAATCCTCACCTGAGGATATTTTCCCATTGATTTTTAGATAGAGTAGAAGGGGGAAGGGGGAGAGAGAGAGAGAGAGAGAGAGAGAGAGAGAGAGAAACATCGATGTGAGAGAGACACATCGACTGGCTACCTCCCACAGGACTCCAGCCAGGGCTGAGGACTGAACCTGCAACCCTTTGGTCCACAGGCCGACGCTCTAACCACTGAACCAAACCAGCCAGGGTTTGGTGTTGGGTTTTAAACATCATGGTTGTATAGTTATTATTTTCTGGTATTATTAAGTTGGATATTTTCATTTTATTCATTTATGTAAATCAAATAGATTGAGACAGTTAAGAACAAAGAAAGTAAGTAAATTAGGGCCTAATTTTTTTCTGCCATTGTTAATTTTAAATTTTTACCTACCTTTAAAATGAATAACTCTTGGCCAGCCAGTGTGGCTCAGTGGATCGAGCATCGTCCCATGGACTGAGAGGTCCCAGTTTGATTCCTGGTCAGGGCACATGCCTGGGTTGTGGGCTCGATCCCAGGTGGGGGGCGTACAGGAGGCAGCCATTCGATGTATCTCTCTCACATCCATGTTTCTACCTCCCCCTCTCTCTCTAAAAAATAACAAAAACATAATTATATTAAAAAAAGAATAACTTTTTGTAAATTACTATTTTTTTGAAATGGGGAAGATCAGCTCTCACACACACTGAAAGCATTTGAATTTCAAATAGAATTTTTAGTAATTTTATTCTCTTTCTAGCTTTTTGGGGACCAGTGGGGAAAAAATTAGTGGCTTTTTCTTCTGTCTTGTTAGTATGACTTTTAAGCACATTAGTTTATTTTTTAAAGTTTTTTTTTTCCTTTATTGATTTTAGAGAAAGAGGAAGTGAGAGGGAGAGAGAAATAGAAACATCAGTGAGAGAGAACATCAATTGGCCGCCTCCTGCAAATCCCTCACTGGGGATCAGGCCCACAACCTGGGCATGTGTCCTGACCAGGAATCGAACTGGCGACCTGTTGGTGCATGGGTCAACGCTCAACCACTGAGCCACACTGGCCAGACTTAAAAAGTATCTTTTATTTGAACATAGGAAATGCATATAGGTTTTCTAAGATTCTAGTACCTCGATAATGATGGTACTAATTTCCAAAGTTCTAATCATCATTTTTGGAGAAATAACAAATTTGAAAAGTTTTAAGCAAGTATAACCATTGCATGGTCCATGCTTTTGAAAACTTGTTTTTGTAAATTAGAGGCTGACTGAGCAGAACTGTTTATTAATTTCTCTCTCTACGGGTTCTCAGTTATCCCAAAGGCTTATATTTTTTTACTTAGATTTATCTGCTAATTGCATTTTCCAAATATGTCTGTAGAGATGACAAATTAAAGAACAATTGTATAAAGAACACTTTTAAGATACTGTGTGTGTTCATGATTTAATGATACATTAGAATCATCTCAGTTAACTGTGTGTTCTTTTATGTTAAATCTACAGTTACAAATGCAGAATGTGCTTAGTTCTAGCCTGTGACCTTTACCAGATGATCATTCTTAATTTAAATATACGGTATCATGCATGATAATATGGACATTGTCTACAAAACTTGCAGTAAATACTGGCTGTTACACCTACATAACCATGATATAGTCTGTTAGCAGAGGGAAAAATTTCTTTATAAATTTTATTAGGTAAAAGTATAACTGATAAAATTTTTAAAGGAAAGTTTTATAATACATAGTGACTATTAAATCATAGCAGTTTAAATGAATAACATAGCTTAATATTTTAATTCATTATTCTACCTAGTTGAAATTGAGATGATAGTGCATTTTTATGATAATATGCAATTGAAACTATGATTTTACATAATAAATCATATGTACACATTACTTACATTCCTTAGTTATGCATTTATTTATCTGTATTTTGACATTGTTAAACTCAACAATACCTGATATTGCCTGCACATCTTAACAGAATATTATATTCAATAGAAAATTTTAATAGCAAGTGCCTTTCCTAGAAAAGTTTTGTTGTATTTCATTTATATGACCTCTAGGGGGCAGCAAAAGATTTAATTGCAGGCATTGCCTGGTAGAGTACAGCAGCTATTAATCTAGTTTTTATAATCTAACAGGTGTGTGGGGAAATGCGCTATCAACTGAATAAAACCAAAATGGAGAAGGACGAGGCAGAAAAGGAGCACAGAGAGTACAGGACAAAAACTAAAAGGGATCTTGAAATTAAAGATCAGGTAAGAGACGATAAGCGTGCAGCTCTTAGGGCATAACTAATGTTCTGCCTGAAGTTGATGTGGTTTTATTCCTACGTCATTTATTTCTATTATATTCTTTCTAACTAATAGAATGATTCGGTTTATGCTATTAAAAGAGTTTCATTTATAGTTGCCTAAAATTATCACCTTTCACATGAAATGGTGAGAATACAACTGCATGCATATAAAATTCCAATCTGACAGGTCATAAATATACATTTGGCTATGTGTATCTATTACTTACAAAAGTTAAAAAAATGTTCTAATGCACAGTTTGAACCGAAAATATACGTACATAAAGTTCGCAAAACATGCCAACTTGAATCCAATTTTAAGTGAAAAAGTTTAAAATTTGTAAGATGAGATGAGTTGATATGTAAATATGTCAATCAAATTGATTGTTGGCAGAGTGAAACCAGTTTTAACTAAGATAACCACGAATACGTTTGCTCAGGGTGCCTGAATGCAGTGAAATTAGAAATGTTAGGGGAAAATTGTGCTTACTTCCATTTCAGTTTGAGCAGATGTTTTTGAAGTTATATTTTTGTTAAGATCATATAGATACCCCAATTCTAATTGACAACAAGGACAAAAAGTTTAGAGAGGCAATTCTAACAGGCTGACTTTGCTTTTCTATTTTTATGTTACAATATAGAACATTGAAGACTTTTATTCTTTTTATTCAAGGAAAGCAGGTTGATAAATCTATTCAATTAAAACATGACTGCGGTCTTAGTATTAATATTTTAAAGAAATTGCTGCAATTTAAGAGTAGGTAGCCCTAAGTAAATATTTAAAAAACATGTTTCCAATTCAAAGCTTTTTATCGTATTTTCTAACATATTTTCCGTTTCAACCCGATCAACTCTCTGTGACACAAACACAGTCGGGCAGAGTATTAAAAATGAAAGAAATAATAAAGCTTAGTATAAAAAGCTTTTAAATTCTGCTTTTGTACCACTATATTCAAAATGTTACAGAGTTTTAAATTTTCAGAAGAATCTTCATTATTGCCATGTACAAATAAGGGAACTATTTTATTCCATCCAGCTGGGGGCGTGCCTGATAATGGAATTGAAAATCCTTTTCCTCAGGACAGCAGGTTAGGACTACCAGACAAAACTCGCAACTTTCCTTGGCTGGTGCAGGATGACTTTGTTTTAGAGCATCGTGTAGTCACTAGCATCATCTCAGACCTTTTGTGTTACTCTGTAGCATCTGCCAGCCTGAGGTTTCGGACTAACTGGAAAAATATAGCAAGGAAGAGTTTCTGAGTTATTTAAAATGACATTATAATCTTTGAGAGAGAGAGAAAACACTACAGGAACAATGACATTATAATATCACTGGTGAATAAAAAGCATGCTATAAGTTTTTGTACTATTAGTCTTTCCGCATCATATCTCATTTTAATTAACCGGCGATGGTGTGGAGGCTAACGGTGCAGGGTTTTCAAGGGAGCAGTTTTCATTTGTAAACATTTCCCGATAAACAATGAAACAGTAACAGTTGCATAATGATTTTTAGTGTTATTTTTAGATAGAGATGTGCCCTTTTAGGAGATCAGAGAGTTAGGAATAGAACCTCTGAATAGTCACAAGATGTTTGTGACGTGGTGTCCTTGTTACCATTTTTCCTTGGACAGAATGTGAGGAAATCTTAGAGGTCGTCTTTGTCACTGTTTTGTATTGAACAGACAGTTTCAGAAAAGAGAGTGGTGGTGTCTCCTTCCCGGGATGACCGGGGGTAGCAAAGCAGCCATTGTTCTCTGGTCTTTCAGCCATGACCTGACCTTCTGTCTGTAAGACCCAAGAGCCACTCTGCTTGGCCACCATCTGCACTCGAGAGAGAAATTTACATTTAACTTTTAGCAGCTGGGCATGTTGGGCATTTATCCGAAATACCTCTAATAATATAAAGTATGTTTAACTTTTTAAGTGTTACATGCTGTGCAATACAGAGGAACAAGAAGGCCATCTCTAGGTGTACACACGAGGGTGTCCCTCGGAATATAGGCATTTCGTTGACATTTTTATTAATCTGACCACTTGGTACTTTTCTAAAGTAGATGGGAAACTGAGATTGGAATGTGGTGAGAACAAGGGCGTTTTTGATGTATACAAACCAGGGCAAATGGTTGACCATCAAAATAATTTTCCTTGTGACCCGAGCCTTGACTGTGGCATAATTAGGAGGAAAGGTTAGCAGAGTAACAATGGCAGTCTCTTCCTCCCACTTCTCCTTTTTGTTTGTTTTCTTATATTGTGTCAGGAGTCCATGGATGGATTATCCTCCCATCAGCTCTTTTGTACTCTTCAGCCTAGAGCTCCTGGCAGCCTCACAGGGTGCTGCTTAAACAGAAAAAATTAAAAGAAGAAAAAAAGGACATTTGGCATGGAGGACAATGAAAAAAATCTGTATCTGATTTTCATTAGGACATTTTTGTAGGCAACAGGCACACACACACACACACACACACACACACACATCATTATGGGAATTTAAAAACATATATGAGGATAAGGAGAATGTTATAATGAATCCCACGTTATCATCAGGGTCATCATTTTGCCAGTCCTGTTCCATCTGTCTCGCATTTTTTTCTCTCCTTCCTCTGTCTTCATTAGCAATGTTGTCTTCTCCACCTTCTCTTCTCTGTCTTCCTCTTTCTCTTCTTCCAGGTTCTTCCTCTTCTTTTGCTGAAGCATTTAAGACAGATCTCAGACGTCATTTCACCCATCAGTGCCTCTGCATGCATGTGACAGAATTATGTGTCATTTGAATATCAACAGTAATTCTGTAATATTATGTAATGCCCCAACCATATTCAAATTTATTTTACCATCTCAACAGTATTTGTTTTACAGTTGGTTTATTCAAATCAAGAAAGTAGGTGTGTTAGAATGTTATATAGTATTATCTTCTTTAATAGGAAATAAAGGGACATATTACAAAATTTCAACTCCCTTTGTCTATCATTTCATTAAACTTCATGCAGTTATTTGTGCTTCACATTTATAAGGTGACGTTATTTGAAAGAAGCATGACTCAGTCTGGTGGGAAGCTGTCGGAGGGCCGTGCAGCAGCCAGTCACGTGCCCTGGAAGGAGCCCCCCGCAGTCTGAAAGTCATCACACATAATGAATTTCAGAGCCGTGTACTTCAGATTTAGGAATGCCGCAGGAAGTCCCGTTATTACCCTGGTGTTGCAAAGGTTAGCTGACTCCGAAATGAGTGGAGTTTTCTTTGTCAGCTTCCATTTTGGTAGATGAATCTCAGATGACTCTGTGTAGACCCTAACCTTTGATCAGGGCCTCGTGCAGAATGAAAATATAGGGCTCTTTGTTCAAAAAGCAGGAAAACACCGCGAGGAAATGTTTTCCTTTCTCCTGCCATCTCTCTCCCACGACCTGTCATGGTGTTTCCTGTTTGCTATTTAAGTCCGGGTCCCTCTAGCACAGGGCCACTCCTGGGAGAGCGCAGGCCACACACGTCTCCCGTGGCTGGGCCTCTGGGGTGAGGGAATCCTTCTTCCCATCCCGTGGCCGTCAGGCACACGGCGCCCTGGAGACCGCAGCCTCCAAGGAGGACACCCTGGGTATACCTGGATCAGGGGGACCAGGGGCTCCACACGGAGTCTCCTGAGTGTCCTGTGGTGCAACCACCCTGGGACAGGGATGGTCCCCTCTGTGTCCTGCCCTGAGATGCCAGGAGTGTACACACTCAACTCAACCTTCCCTGGCCTCACATCCAGCCCTGCAGCAGAATACCTGCCAGCCCGAGTCAGGCACAGGGCAGGGCCCGGAGAGGAAGCTGGGGGGACAAGTGTTTGGGAACTTGCCCAGGCTGCTGAGAGACGTGGACAAACAGGGCACCCAGAGCCCGACTACATTGATGGTTCCGTCCGACTTCACTTACAGACCCAAGTCCCAGTATGAAATCCTTCAGACCACGGAGCATGCAGTCAGGCACTGTTCACGTGCCCGTGAGGCCTCGTGGCCGTGGGGCAGGCGGATGAGCTGTGCTGTACGTGTACCAGTCCACTGACATGCAGTCCTGGGTTGGCCCACTCGCGGTGCCCAGATCACGGTGCACTAGATCGCAGTGCCCTGGATCACGGTGCCCAGATCGCGGTGCCCAGATCGCGGTGCCCAGATCGCGGTGCACTAGATCGCGGTGCCCTGGATCGCGGTGCCCGGGATCGCGGTGCCCTGGATCGCGGTGCCCTAGATCGCGGTGCCCTGGATCGCGGTGCCCTAGATCGCGGTGCCCTGGATCGCGGTGCCCTGGATCGCGGTGCCCTGGATCGCGGTGCCCAGATCGCGGTGCCCTGGATCGCGGTGCCCTGGATCGCGGTGCCCTGGATCGCGGTGCCCAGATCGTGGTGCCCTGGATCGTGGTGCCCTGGATCGCGGTGCCCTGGATCGCGGTGCCCTGGATCGCGGTACACTAGATCGCGGTGCCCTGGATCGCGGTGCCCAGGTCGCGGTGCCCGGATCGCGGTGCCCAGATCGCGGTGCCCTGGATCGCGGTGCCCTGGATCGCGGTGCCCAGATCGTGGTGCCCTGGATCGCGGTGCCCTGGATCGCGGTGCCCTGGATCGCGGTGCCCTGGATCGCGGTGCCCTGGATCGCGGTGCCCTGGATCGCGGTGCCCTGGATCGCGGTGCCCTGGATCGCGGTGCACTAGATCGCGGTGCCCTGGATCGCGGTGCCCTGGATCGCGGTGCCCTGGATCGCGGTGCCCTAGATGCGGTGCACTAGATCGCGGTGCCCTGGATCGCGGTGCCCTAGATGCGGTGCACTAGATCGCGGTGCCCTGGATCGCGGTGCCCTAGATGCGGTGCACTAGATCGCGGTGCACTAGATCGCGGTGCCCTGGATCGCGGTGCACTGGATCGCGGTGCCCTGGATCGCGGTGCACTAGATCGCGGTGCCCTAGATCGCGGTGCCCAGATCGCGGTGCCCTAGATCGCGGTGC